TCTGGGAGTGGAAGCCCTCCCCTCTTAAAGCAGGCTGGCTGGGGGATTCTTGGAGTGGAAGCCCTCCCCTCTTAAAGCATGCTGGCTGGGGGATTCTGGGAGTGGAAGCCCTCCCCTCTTAAAGCATGCTGGCTGGGGGATTCTGGGAGTGGAAGTCCTCCCCTCTTAAAGCATAGCTGACTGGGGGATTCTGGGAGTGGAAGTCCTCCCCTCTTAAAGCATTCTGGCTGGGGGATTCTGGGAGTGGAAGTCCTCCCCTCTTAAAGCATTGCTGAAATTGATTGAAATGACAGGCAAGGTCTGTAAAAAATAGGCAGGGCTCTCCCCGCCCACCATCTTGACTTTTTTGACTTCTGCCTGTTGACTCCTCCTCTTTTCCACCCTTCCCAGACTCCTCCCCATGCCCAACTTACCAATACAGCCGTCAGGATGGGCACCTGGATAAACCACTTGAAATACCTCGCACTTAAGTCCCAGCATCTGCAAAAGAAAAGAGGACAACACTGCTTACAAAACACCTGATTTTGTTGCAAAGTGGCTTTCGGCTCTAGGGAATCTTTCAGGGACGTTTACAATCTTCATTTATCCAAAGATGTTGAAATCCATCGCCCAACACAGCCACCAGGAAAGCAAATTTTTGAGAGGTGGAGCCTCCAGGAAAAGGAGTAGACTACCCTTAAAAGCAACACGGAAGTTGCCACTGGGGATAAATAAGAGTAGGTTTGTCTATTTCAGGGACTACAGATCTAAACAGGTTGGCTTTTAAGGATGTTTTACAAATTTGGCAACTTTAAGGTGTGTGGACTTCAACTCCCAGAATCCCCCAGCCAGCAAGGCTGGCTGGGGGATTCTGGGAGTTGAAGTCCACACACCTTAAAGTTGCCAAATTTGTAAAACCACCAGCTTTTGTCCATTCAACTGGTTTTAAAACCTTCTCCTGGCTGTTTTTTTTTAAAATAATAACAACCCAGTCATTGGTTTTGAGTGAGTATTTCAGTATATATATATGTGTGTCTTTAAAAATAATAATAAAAGGAATGTTGAGGTAATAAATAGCCCAGCTGGCTTCTTGAGGAATAAAAATGTCATGGTTATACAAATTATGGCTATTAGCAAAACAAATCATATGGCACTCTGGGATTAAAAATATCCTCACGCGCCAATTCTCTCCCCCCCCACCCTACCCCAATCTGACAGGCAATATGCATATGCCTATTACAGACATTCACACTTATTTCAGCACAGGAGAGAAATATTTAAAATAAATCAAAGAGAAATCAAAGTTTACAACTCTTTAGAGCTGCAAGTCCATTAGTTACATATATGAATGTATGTCTGTATGTATGTGTATATATATATACATGCATATATTTTATTTAGAGTTACAACCCCCGGTATGCCCAAATATGGGAGGAAGATCACTACTTCCATTCTCTGTCCNTGAAGCGGTATATAAGTCTACTGCTATAAGTCTACTGCTATTCCCCTCCCCTCCCTTCCTCTGAACCCAGAGTTTCTGGAGACTGGGATACTCACCTCCCCATTGCAAAAGCAGTAGATAATTGCGACAAAAAATCCCTAGGAAGAAAATAAGGAATAAAATTGGTTTCTTCGATTGATTTCATGAATAGCTTTTAAGCTGTGGTTTGGGGGTCCTCTAGGGATGACCAAACCTATAATGGGCTGGGTAACCTGAGGTTAATATCCAAGTAGTTCTGGACTTACAACAGTTCATTTAGTGACTGTTCAAAGTTACAATGTCACTGGAAAAAGGGACTTACGACCATTTGTCAAACTTACGACCGTTGCGGCCTCTCACATGATCAAGATTCACATGCTTGGCAACTGACTCGTATTTATGGCGGCCGAAGGCCCCTGGGGGGTCACATGATTGATCCCTTCTGATGAAAAAAAGTCAATGGGGAAGCCGGATTCACTTAACGACCGCGTGACTGACTTAACTACTGCAGTGATTCGGTTGCAAGAATGGTCGTAAAATGGGGCAAAAACCTTTTCTAGGGGGAATTATGGGATGTTGTTGAGATTGAGCAGGTGGTCCACCATAATGAAATTGCAAGAGGAACCCCATGAAACCTGAACTGACTTCGGAGAGGGATAATAGTAATAATGTACATTAAAATTTAACAATTAATTTAATATTAAATTTAATAAAGGCGATAATCATTAGGTTTTAATTTTTAACTTCCTATTTAATATTATTAATAATGAATTCCCCCATAACTCTGGTAAAGGTTCCATTCTAGCTTGCAAGCTTGAGCCCCCGAGGATCCAACCGGGAGCCTTTGTGAGCCGGGTGGGGATTATGGGAACTGAAGTCCAAGGCATGGATGGACATCATGGCTGGGAAAAAAAAACATTTTATTGCCTTTTCGCCCCCCTTCCTGAATCCTTAAACTGGTGTATTCTGAAGGAGGGGGGAGAGGTTGGACGAACCTGGAATGAATTAAAGAGCATTTCATAGTGCATCTGGATTTTCCAGATGATTCCGGTAATTTCTGTGTATGGCATGGCCATAAAAACGATGTAATGGACTCCGAATAACGGCATGAGGACCAGGGTGGATTTCAACAGTTTCCTGCATAGAAAGGGGAAAAAAAGATGATAAATAATAAAGGACGGAAGATAATCTTCGTAGCTCAGGGATTAACTGGGGTGTCCTTGGCACTCTCTGAGCTGGGTGGAGAGGAGGAGGAGGAGGAGAAGGGGGGAGGGGGGAGAAAGAAGAAGATTGAGGACGCTCTCTGAACTTGGTGGTTTTCTTGCAAGATGTTTCGTGACTCAACTAGATAACTTCATCAGTGCTAGAAGGGCGGGGGATTTGAAGGGAGGAGGAGGAGAGGAAAAAGAAGAGGAAGAGGAGAAGAAGGAGAAGGAAGAAAAGAAGAGGAGAAGGAGAAGGAGGAGAAGAAAAAGGAGGAGAAGAAAAAGGAGGAGAAGGAGGAGGATAGGAAGAAGAAGAGGAGAAGAAGGAGAGGAAAAAGAAGAGGAGGAAGAGGAGGAGAAGGAGGAGAGGAAAAAGGAGGAGAAGGAGGGGGAGAGGAAGAAGAAGAGGAGGGAGAGGAAAAAGAAGAGGAGAAGAAGGAGAAGGGGAAAAGAAGAGGAAAAGAGAAGAAGAAAAAGGAGGAGAAGGAGGAGGAGAGGAAGAAGAAGAGGAGAAGAAGGAGAGGAAAAAGAAGAGGAGGAAGAGGAGGAGAAGGAGTAGGAGAGGAAATAGAAGAGGAAGTGGAGAAGAAGGAGAAGGGGAAAAGAAGAGTAGAAGGAGGAGAAGAAAAAGGAGGAGAAGGAGGAAGAGAGGAAGAAGAAGAGGAGAAGAAGGAGAGGAAAAAGAAGAGGAAGTGGAGAAGGAGAAGGAGGAGAGGAAAAAGGAGGAGAAGGAGGAGGAGAGGAAGAAGAAGAGGAGAAGAAGGAGAGGAAAAAGAAGAGGAGGAAGAGGAGGAGAAGGAGGAGAGGAAAAAGGAGGAGAAGGAGGAGAGGAAAAAGAAGAGGAGGAAGAGGAAGAGAGGAAAAAGAAGAGGAAGAGGAGAAGGGGAAAAGAAGAGGAGAAGGAGAAGGAGACGAAAAAGGAGGAGGAGGAGAGGAAAAAGAAGAGGAAGAAGAAGAGGAAGAGGAGGACCGAGGACTCTTTGCTGCTCTCTCAGCTAGGTTGTTTTCTTGCAGACGTTTCACGACCCCGCTAGGTAACATCATCAATTCTGGAAGAGAGTTGGGTTTGTAGGAAGGAGGAGGTGGTGGAGGAGGAGAACAGCGGGGTCCTTGGGGAAGAAAGGAAGTCAGGCAGGAAAGATGAAGCAACCTTCATCTAGGTAGATTCTGGCAAGCAAAGCCAATGGGCAAAATCGGATCTGCTTAACAACAACACGGTTTCACTTAATGACTTCGGCAATTCGGGCATTTCACAGGTGTAATATCGGACACGGCTGGTTTAACGAGGGAAATCCTGCCCGCCCCCCAATTCCAATCATAAGTCAAGGACTTCCTGTAAGTAGAGCCTCTTCTTCGCTCGTCCCCCCCCCCCCCTGCAGGGGGGGACACCTGGATTCCCTAAAGTGGTGCAGAACGTGGCATCTCAGCCACAAGACGGGTGAGGCTGGCAGTTTTTTCCAACCTGGCACAGTTTGCTTCGAAGTTCAGGGTGGGGAGGAGAAACGGGGGGTGGGGGGTG